AAAACCCTGTACAGCATCTTGGATTATAAATGAATAATATTCTGAGAAGTCTGATAAAATTATGGTCTGATTGTAGATTTTCTTCTTGCATTTTCAAATATCTGCCTGTGGTTTGGCAATATAACGATAACAATTTGGTTCAGGTATCTAGTACTAAAAATGTTCAATTACCTTGAGGTTCACCTCAATATTTTCACACTTCAACATATATTCTTATCCCTCATTACAGTTCACCTTGATTTCAGCATTTAACTTTACGATTCCATGGACTTCATTCCTCCGGAAGCATAATATAAAGTGACTCATCTTACATTTATTATATAATTCACAATATATTTTAGAAGATTGTAAAAACTCATATATTTTACCAACAGTCTCATATGACCTGTTTCTTTGAATCTTATATACACTTCACTAACTGTTTCTTGATTTCATACGTTGTCTCCACTCGGTTTCTGACAGCATGTCAGTTATTGTGTTATTATTGATCTGTGGCATACATAGATGTGTCAGAAAAGTTCTGATACATTTTTAGGAAGCAATATACTTCTTTTCATCTGGTGTCGGTGACTATTTTTTATATCCAGGACATGGTTTATTATCCTACCAAGTTTAATTTCCTTTTGTGAATTCATACCTGGATAAAATCTCTACTGGCATCCTGCAAAATTAACCTCATGTGCTTACACATTATGATAAGAGACAGGATTGTGTCAGAGCAGAGTGCGGGTGCTGTGTTGAGTTATGAGTATGTTATTTACCGTTCGTTATTATGTCCTTGGTATAAATGACAAGTATGTGTGAGCTGTCAGACCTGAATAAACAAGGTAAATATGGACATGTTTTCAATGTAACAGACTTGCATTTTATTTCACATGTGTTATCTGTAGACTGCCTGAAGCTACAGATTCAATATTAATAATTTTCAGGGTCCTCCTTGAGGTGGTAATATGTGCAGAGTGTCATATTTAACAGCTGTGTGATACATGACATCATAAATCCCAGTTTTGGCTAGTTCACAAGAACCATGAAATTTTGTGGTAAGTTTTGACTGTTATATACCACTGAATTGGCTCACAAGAGCAATAAGGTAAATATACTGTACAAGTACTCTTATTGGTATACAATTTGAGGGTAAGAACATGTGCATGCAACTGACAGTTTGTGTTATGTCAGTCCAAGCCTGGGTTAAAATTGCATGCCAACTTTAAAGGGACTAACCCTTTCTGTACAAGTTATACAGAATTTTGAGACAGTGAGTACAATTGATTTTTCCAAAATCTGTTAAATTTTAAGCACTGAACATAACAAAATAAAATCAATAATGTGTGACATCTCTGTACCCATTTTCTACTTAACATGAACATGTAATCAAGTTAGTAGCCATTTCTTTAACATTGTCATACCATTCTCAGTTTTGTATTATAAACAGTCTCGCGCAGTCTGAGGCATCATGCTTCGGACCGGCAATACAGAATGTGCGCTGGTTCGAGTCTCGGGGGAGAAGAAATTTTCTCATGAGCTTTTGACCAGAGTATGGGACCGGTGCCAACCCAGCATCGTGAGGAAATTTGGGAACTACAATGAGTAGCGTAATTCGGTCAGGAAAGCTAGCAATGGCTGGGGGTTTGTCGTGCTGACCACACGTCACCCTATATCTGGTTGAATGATCATTCACCTCTGCTTAGGCATGTGAATGTGAGACCAGCAGTCAAGCTAGACGGCTTTGGCTCTCTGGAGCTGTTACACCACCGATTTAATTTAATTATATTATGTAACAATTTCTAGTAAATGAATAAATTATGAAGTCTTTTATTAGGCATATTACCATTTTCTAACCAAGTGTACTTATGAAAGATATTTTGTGTTCATAAACTTGTATGGACATCTTATGTAATCTCTGCTGTATATGAAACAATGCTTTTATTAATCAAGCTATTTATATCAACCTTACACCAATTTCTGTACTACTTGCAATGTAGCTCTCCTAAATATTAGAGCTGTGTAGTGCTGTGGCCATTGTGCTGAATCATACTGAGAGAAAGTCTCATGAAGTCTTTTCTTTTTTCAGCTGTGGTTTGTGAAGCATGACTTTTGAACCTGTAGCGAAAGTGAAAAAAACTGTTCATGTCTGTTATTAACAGTATTGTTCTATTATAAATGCAATAAGTAACTCATAAAATGAAATACAATGACATTTAACAACTTTTACGTAATGGGGACCAAACTCTGTCTCAAGTCCCAAGTAAGGGGTACCAAAATAAAGACAGTTAACTAAATTATTGGTAAAAATTTTAGGGCTTCATACACCATGCTGTCCTTGTGTTTAAATTATTTACATAAATAAGATACTGAACTGTTATTTGAATTGTGACTAGTACTATTAGGTTTTAATTGTTATAAAAAGTTCATTTATAGGTATGCAGAAGTCATGACCTTTTAAATCTTTAAAAATTTCAAAAGATTAGGATTGTGTAGAAATCTAATAATGGAAAATTATTTTTAACGTTTGACATAATAAATTAAAAAAATTGACAGTGGAACCACGGTTCCGCAGAATATGACGTATATACGTCTCTGTATTTAAATTATATTTAAGCAATAAATACAATGAAAGTAAGTTTATATATTAGCTTTATTCTAAATATTCCCTTTTACATGCTTTACAATTGAGTAAATAGTTTGATTAAGACATTGCTTATTTAACTTGAATTAGTTACGCTTAAGATGGGGTCTTTGGTAGCTGAATGTAATGTATTGTAATGTAATGTAATAATTCTTATATAAGATAAGTACTTGTGATATTCGATTGATAACGAAAGCGGATTGTTGGCAGTAATGTAACACGACAATGCCGAGTAAACAGATGATGTAACAATTAGTTTCTTAGGTAACAACAGTGCTTGCAAGCTGGCCATTGTTTGTATGGATCTTACACATCTTCGTTATGCTTTTTTGCCGAATGACCCTTCCGTATAGACGTATTTACGTCAAAAAATAAACACATAAACTGCAAGAAGAATGATATATTTCTTCGACAGAACATAGAAGTATCAATATTGGTCTCGAATGTGATATGTAGGATGACTGAAAAGTCATGCATCCCAAATTAAAATATTTATTTCAGATAAGGGAGCTCTCAGACACAATTTTAATGAAGTGATTAATGTAGACATCTATTAACTTTTTCACACCACACATTAAAATCTAACCTCGCCCACTGACAGAATGGAAACAGTGCATTGAAACAAAAGACTCTCGGCTTGTCCATATGTTGCATATAGCAGACATGGAAGCTTCGAGGCGCACGAGCTATTAACCCCAAAAAACCCGTCCCGTCCGTCGGTGGCCTCTAGCTGTACGCATGCCTGATGGTGTGCGCATCAGGACCAGAAACTTCCAGCAAGGCTGTCCGTAAGAAGACGTCCAACTCAGCGCAACGTGCAGTGTCTAACCACTCGGCTACCCTGATAAATTTTATTTTTTTCCTCAGTTGTAAGGCAAACGCCAGGATATAATTCAAAAGGGGCACGGCCCGCTTTCCCCAATCATGGAGGCCTGGAGCTAAAATGATTTCCCCCTCAAATCGCAAATATCCAGTTAGCCAAATTTCCTGTCGCAAAGGCTAAGTTGCCCGACCTGATCACCTTGCACCACTAGCAATGGCCCCTAGTTTGAAAATGCCAAGGCCTTCTGCCACGACGAAAATCCCGTTAGCGCAAGCACATAGTTTACAAGTCACATTTAGCATTTCAACATTTTCGTACGCAGGAATGGTCTAACCTATCAAGGGATGATGTAATGAATTCTTCCCGGACTATCAGCCGTGTCATATGGTTGAAAGGAGAAAACACCAGTGTTTCGAGAATCATCTTCGTCCTCAGCGTACTGAAGTTGACGAGGACGAAGATAAGTTCTCGAAACGCTGGTATTTTCTCTATTCAACCACGTGACACGGCTGGTATCCCGAGAATAATTCATTATACTTTGTCGCCGTGGAAGTTTCAAATCATACAAGGGACGAAATAGTGGATATGGAGCTAGTGCATTGTACATGAGTAAAGTTGACCAAAGAACAAATGATTTAGAGACTGACAAACTGAAAGACATGAGGGGTAACAAGTCAAGAACAATTATTTCAATTGCAGTAAACAAGAAATCTTTATTAATTTTAGTAGTGTATAATAAATGCTGCTTTTAAGTGAGCCCACATGGATTCAATTGTATATGCTACTATATTTTATCAAGTATCTCAGAAATTATTAATTGTATATAGTTTTTCTCCAACAATTTTGTAACATTTTATAAATATAAATGAGCAGTCCTTCAAGTAAGATGTTAGCCCAGCCTGGCA